CCTCTCTCCGCCATCTCCCAATCTCGCTCGCTAGATATACAAATACATATGTATACCATATATACAATTATCTGACAGATATACATATACAATTCGACATATATACAAATAAAATTCACCTCTCTCCACTCTCTAGCCCCCCCCCCCCCTCTCTCTCTCGTCTCTCTCCTCCCTTTCCCATTCTCGCTCGCCTCTTTCCTCCCTCTAACATGTAACTGCGAATTATAATTAGCAAACTATAGCTATTGAGCCTAATTAAGTGATTTTTAGTGGCTATTTGCAAAATTTCCTATTTTTATTATAAATTTAATTTTATACCTGCAAATCTAATTAATCAAAATTTTCACATATTTAACCCATACTAATACCCATATAAACCCATAATTAGAGTTGGACATCGTACGGTAGCTATCAAAATTTTCACATAATAGTTTGTACTTTCAATCCACAAAATATCTTCTAATTGAAATACAACAAAGTGACAAACTATGATATAAAATCACAAAGTAATTAACTAACGGAATGAATTGTAACTAACTAAAGGATCAGGTTAATTGTGTATTGTACCCAACTAATAGACCCGATTCATCACGTGGTGCATTTCAACAAAACCAAAGACAAAACACATATTAAAAGGGAGAATATGTTCTTAAATTTTAACTATCCGTAAAGGATTAAACTATACATCGTCTGATTTAATATATTAAGCTTGATAGCAAGTAGATTTCCACTTTTAAATTCTTATATCTTATTATTTACGTAATTATAACCCTTGTTTGATGCTCCACAATTTTTGCACTACTTAAATTCATTACTGCATATATTATTATCCAAAAACATTTGTTTTTCTTCCGGAAAATCTTGTTAGGCCTGCAAGAAGATTGTCACCTAATTTTTAAAACAAATCATCTATCTTTGGAAACAGGTGATAAAGGATTCTTTATAACTTTCTATTTTGTTGACTTTTGGGTCAAAGTTAGTATATAAAATTTCTACTATAATAATAATAAAAGATTGAATACAATTGAACTTATTGTAACACTTTTTAAGGAGAGGTTTAAGCTCAAATTATTGTGAATTTATAATTTCTTTATAAAATTAGATATTTTATAATTAAATATTTTTTAAAATTGATTTAATATTAACGATGGGCCTCTATGCTCCAAAAAAATAATAATAATCCACTTGATTAAATATTGAGTTGTTTATCCAAAGCAATAGGAGTCGGTAATTTAACAAGTCTTTTTTCAATAAATAAATAAAAAGAAAAAGAAAAAGTCATGACTCATGAGGACAATTAAATAATAAATTTTAACAAAAAGAAATCATAAAGGGGTTTGGTGGCATATATTCCCAGTGGAAAACTAGTGGGGGAATAAATGTAGTTCCCAATAAGATAACAAAAGATTAAAGGTATGTGTGAAAAGAGGTGCCATCCTCCAATTATTAAAAAGGATGAAGTATTGTTATTTATTTTATATATATATATATATATATATACAAGTATAATATAATACTCATATAATTAGTAGGAGTATTTGCTAATCAAGCACACACATCGAAAGGGGAATAAACAAATTCATTTAAAATTGAAATTTAAAAAGAAAGTTCATACTTAAGTACTTAGTTATATGAATTTTTGTTTTATTGATAATAATTTTATTTTCTACCTTATTATTCTCTTTATTTTCTCTTCTCCTATCCAAGCCCCAATTATTAAAAAAAAAAAGAAAAGAAGATTACTATAGTTAGTTTAGAGAATTCTTTAAAAAATAACTCAAAATTTTGAAAGTATATATAGACAACATGTTCATAGTTTTTTATTTTATTTTATTTTTTTGCATGGTTTTCTCTATCTATTTTGAAGCTAATTTAATTCAAATTTATAATGTATAATTTCATTTAGAGGTAAATTGCTCTCTATCAAAAAATGATTATGATTCATTTTCAGAACTCAAACACAAAATATTTAATTAATAATAAAGAAATACTAGTCACACTAGCTACCATAAATCATAATGATTGGTGGTTAGCATTTGTTGCTTTAGAATAACATAAAAATAATAATCTATACTCTCCACTATTTTTTCCCAGCTAACAACTTTACTATATCGTTTTGCACAATAAATCTCAAAGTGTCAAATGATGCATCAACATCACTTACAAATTACAATAATCCAAACTTGAAAAAATAAAATCTCAAGTAAATATATTCTAATAACTAATAGAAAATTTAGCTAAGCTATATCGGTGCAGAACGTTTCAAGATTTAAGAATATATAAAACATTTCAAGATTTAAGGAAATTGATTTCAAAAAAAGTCTATATAATAAGTGTTGTTATAGAAATATGACGATACATTATAAAGAGGTGTGTCTATATTAATGTTTTTGAAACGTCATCAATTATCCAATTTCTTATTTAATTTTTAAATCTTGTGTGAAAAAATAACAACCTCATATTATCGAAAGATCAAAATATTAAAAAATGTTATATCGAGTCTTAAGAGTGGTCATACACCTATATAACTATATATATTCTATATATTAGGTTTGCATATGAGCCTTATTGACTTCGTAAACAAAAAGTAAATAAAATAAAAGTCTTTTTATTTATTTATTTATTTTTATTATTATTATTATTATTATTATTATTATTATTATTATTATTATTATTATTATTATTATTATTATTATTTAAGTTGTTACAAATGGAGTTCACACTAGACAGTACTATCAGTTTGACAATTTGCACAGGGAGGGATAGAAAGTTAGGCAATCCTACATTCTACCCCCCTAGAGTTTGTTATACGTGATAATTTGGTCCCCATTTTTCATCAATTACGTAATGTATAATCAATTTTCAAGTATTTATGGACAAATTATTTGTCCTTTATTGACTCTTACAAAACCTTAATACTATTATTTTAGTTTCAATTTGTTAACTTACATTTGAAATAACTCATATTATCATCTTTACTTTTTAGGGTTATAACAAGATGAAAATGGTTTGTCTTAAATAGAATTGTCGAGTTCAAATTTTGAAATAAAATAAATATAGATATGGAGTAAAAGTAGAATCAGAATTTAAAATTCGCTAGCCTTTTTAATTTAAGTCATGAGATTCTAAATTATTCTCTTTGTTTCAATTTAGTTGTCTTATTTTTCCTTTTTAACCTATTTAAAAACTAATGTCTTTTTTTGGCGGTTGTTTGATTTTAACTTTTGATTTCCACATATATTTAAAACCACAAAATTAAAGGACATTTTGATACATTTGACATAACTTTAATTTAAAATCACAAAATTCAAAAATCTTCTTCACTTTCTTAAACTTCTTACAATGTTAAAACATGACAAATAAATTAAACAGATCAAAAAATAATTTATACATGTTAATTTAATTTCCTAAAATAAATATAATAATTCAATCAAAATTATTGAGTTCGGGTGATCAACTCATATACCGTGATTTCTATCTAACTCCACTCTAATAATTAAGAATTGTTTCTCTTACCTGATATACATCTAAATTAGTTGAAACTCAAAGCGAATATCATATACCGCATACTAAATATCAAATATTAAATACCAAACATCGAATACTAAAATATCGTTTGTCAGAAAAAGAATAAAAGGTAGAGAGGCACCTGGGTACAACCAACGGAGCCAAAGGTAAATAAGATGGCATTATTCATTTCAGTAGGCTTTTTATTTGTGGTTACTATTATTAGGAATATAAGAATATAAGATAAAGTATTTAAAGTAGTTCACATAAAATATAGAGAACGTGGCTCTCACTTTTCAAAGAATAAGATATCTCTTATTTCTCCTCGTGACACAAGTTTATTTAAGAAATAAATTTAGAAATCCAAAAATGTGATCGAGTTGATTGAAAATATGATTTCTCAAAATGTGGGGTTTAATTATATTTAAAATTTTGTATGTTTTTCGATCGAACTTGTTATATGGGTCTTATTTAATACAATTTATTTATCCTATGTGATTTTACCTATAGTTTATGTGCATCTGAAAAATGACGGTGATCAGTGGCGGATCCAGGATTTAGAGTCCGTGGGTGCCAAATAGACTTATCGATTAAATTAATTTTATATTTGATTAAATTATTTGTCTTTTCGATATATATCATAAATCAATCAATAAAATGTAAATAATAAGATATTACACTTTTATTGAGTATTTAATCAAATAAAAGAAAAGTCAAAGGAGTAATAATGTAATTAATTTAATTTAAGTCAATAACAATTATAAAAAAATAAAAATAAAAATTGTGCCAGTGCTTGGAGCCTTTTTTTTTTCTTAAAAAACGTATGCATCAAATTTCTCAAAAAAATAGGTACAAATGGGATTCGAACCCGCAACATCAACCTTCTAAAGTTGCCCACCTACCATGGCACCACAAGATAATTTTATTCTGTGGGTGACACGTTTTATATTTATATAAATATTATATATATATACCTATGTATATATAGAGTTTCTGTCGAAGTTCGGGGGTGGCGTGACACCCCCAAACCTCTGCATAGATCCGCCACTGACGGTGATGGATTTCATTCTCTAAACTAAATATAAAAAAAAAGGAATAAATTTGGATGCTTTATTTATCTAACGTAGTTTTATTGTGTCAAATGTCAGAACAAAGTTGAACAAAATAGACAAAAATATTACTCTATTACTTTTGAATATTATTATTTTATTAAAAGCACAAAATATTTCTTGGACTTAGATCAATAGAATAATTATACTTTGAAAATAGTATTTTATTAAAAGCACACAACAACATGGTTAACATATATTTCACAAAGAATTTCCAATATTATTTCTAATATTATAAGACTTTGACTAGGTCATTTGCCATGTTCCTCACAAATATGCCTTTTGTAATTCACTTCAAAGAATGTCATCAAATAATTTGACAACTATAAATACCCATAGCCCTTTCTCCCAAACACAAACAAACTTTAATCAGTTCTCCTCTCTTTTATATACCAAAGTTTTTTTATTTCCATTTTCACAAAAATGGTTCTCTCAAAAACTTCTTGTGAGTCTGATGATTCTGTACACTCTACATTTGCTTCTCGCTATGTTCGAACTTCACTTCCAAGGTAAACATCGTATAAACAATCAGACATTTCGTTAATAGTGTATGTTCAACGTTTAATACATACTATATATAATGTAATTAGAGGCGGGTTCTGGATTTTGATTTGACGACTTCAATCTTTAAGTTCTTACCACTGAATTCATTACGTGGAATGTGGATTCATAATCTTCTATTTATTTAAGTTCGAATGATTTTTAATAAGGGGCAGAGCTAGGGGTAATGTAAGTTTGTTAAAAAATTACTCCTTTGAATATACAAGATATAAAATCATTTTTACTATATGTATATGTAGTCAATTCTGAATCTTCTTGGAGTTTTTTTGTATATTCTTTTTTTATATTTTGAATCTTCTCAGTGAAATATCTGGCACTACCACTAATTTTTTTACATATATTTTGTATACTCTATGTTGAAGTATAGAAATTAAGTCAGTGTAGATTCTTCACTATTATATTTACTTTACATATTTTTTTAGTTTCTTTTTTTTAATTATATCAACTTATAAACATGTTTAGTTTGATCAAAATATTTTAAACAACATTTTTTTGGGTTTATTTTAGGTTTGAGATGCCAGAGAAGTCTATACCAAAAGAGGCAGCATACCAAATAATTAATGATGAGTTAATGCTTGATGGCAATCCAAGGTTAAATTTGGCATCATTTGTGACAACATGGATGGAACCAGAATGTGATAAGCTTATGATGGCTTCAATTAACAAGAATTATGTTGACATGGATGAATACCCTGTCACCACTGAGCTTCAGGCAATTCCTTCTTCCCTATTATTTTACGGATTCTAAATTTTAAGTTTATGAGTTTTGAATCTTATAACGAGACAAACACGATAGAATATTTATACATTTAAGTTGCTAAAAATATATCCATGTCGTTATACTTTCTGAACAAATATATCCATATCGTTATAAAGTTGCTAAAATTCCTTTATTCTATGACTCAACTTTTGAAATGATAGGTATACTCCGCAAGTGTATTTATTTTCATATTTAATTGATTGACTATTTGACGTAACGTAAAGTAGATACAGAGCATTTACATTAACAAGTATACATTCTCAACGTATAAAAACAACATATGCTAAACAAAAATTCAATCAATTACAGAATCGATGTGTGAACATCATAGCGCGTTTATTCAACGCGCCTTTGAAAGAGGAAGAAACAGCAATTGGTGTGGGGACAGTGGGCTCATCAGAGGCCATAATGTTAGCAGGCCTGGCCTTCAAGAGAAACTGGCAAAACAAACGCAAAGCTGAGGGAAAACCTTATGATAAGCCCAACATTGTCACTGGTGCTAATGTTCAGGTATTATTTTCATTCCGTTTTACTTGTCACATTTTTAGTACAATAGTTCCTTTTATAATATTAATCGTTTGAGATTGAGGACTACCTCATTTGATGAGCTTGTAAGAATAATTTATTTAAATCATGCTTTTTATTAAAGTATTTTTTTTTTCATAAGAGATATCGAAAAGACAAAAATAACGAGAGAAAAGGAAAATGTGTGATTCGATTTTTTTAATGCACTAAATTAGCATCCACAATGCACACACACATTCCAAAAGGTGTGATGCTATATAGGAGTTCAATTGAATTTCATTCGTTAAATAATCATATTATGTTCAAAAATAATTCTAATATATTTTTTAAAAAATCTTATCTGAATTCCTGACTTCGTCGCTGTATTTCAAGAACTTGTTATACATAAAATAAGGTTTTTTTTTTTATACCGTTTTTTTTAGGTGTGTTGGGAGAAATTTGCAAACTACTTTGAAGTGGAATTGAAAGAAGTGAAGCTAAGTGAAGGGTACTATGTGATGGACCCAATCAAAGCTGTGGAAATGGTAGATGAAAACACTATTTGTGTTGCTGCTATTTTGGGTTCAACGCTTAATGGAGAATTTGAAGATTGCAAACTCTTGAATGATCTTTTGATTGAAAAGAACAAGCAAAATGGGTAAACTACCTCTACTTTCTAATTTATGTGATGTAATTTATTTTTCAATCTGTTTCGAAAGAAGATATGTTTGTTGGATACATTAAATATATGTGGAACTCCAATTACCTCTCATTTAAAGGATACATTTGATACTTAGATATATTTGTCTTACACATTAAAGATTTCTTTAAGGAATTTTTCTAAAAACAAATAGTAGGTCTAAATTGTTTACTTTTCTTAATCGATATACATAAATTATACATTGATCATGTACATAATATATATGAATCATGCATTCTTCGAATATTTTTTCTTTTTTAAACTTTACCATCATTTGAGTATTTACTTTTAGCATCCCCTTTTAAATGAAAAGATACATGGAACTCACACTATCTCTTATTTACAAAATAATTTTGATACTTCAGACTTACATGTTAAAAATTTCTTAAAAGGATATTTTTTTAACATATAGACGGTCGGATTCACTACATACTTTTTCTATCTGATATGCATAAATTATACATATATTAGACATGAATTATATATTTGCCGACTGTTTTTAGTTTATGCAGTTAAGTGAGCGACTATAAATATATAATTCTTCTTTTTTTCTTAAAAAATAAATATTTATGATTTTGTTTTTGGCAGATGGGACACACCAATCCATGTGGATGCAGCAAGTGGTGGTTTCATTGCACCATTTATCTACCCAGAGTTGGAATGGGATTTTAGGCTTCCTTTAGTGAAAAGTATCAATGTGAGTGGACACAAATATGGGCTTGTGTATGCTGGTATTGGTTGGGTTATTTGGAGGACTAAACAAGACTTGCCTGAAGAACTCATTTTTCACATCAATTATCTTGGTGCTGATCAACCTACTTTTACTCTCAATTTCTCCAAAGGTATAACACCTTTCTGTCTCAATTTGTGTGATATACTTTCTTTTCATATATTTTCTTGAAAAGAAACTGAAAAGGGTCTTTTTACAACAACAATATCATACCAGTGTAATTTCATAAGAGAAGTATGGAGAGACTGATATGTACGTAGTCTTACCTCTACCTTGTGAAGATAGCTAGAAGAGTTATTTCCAATAGACCTTCAGCTCAAGTAAAATACGTCTTTCTAAATTTAGAAATAATATTAACTTTTAACTTCTATCTATAATGTGATGGTTTATTTATGACTACCAAAATATATACGGCTCAGTTATAGACTAAAAGTTTCAATACTCTTTATTTATTTCTTAAATTTCGTAATCAGTCAAGTATGCTACATAATATGAGATGAAAAAAATAATTTTTTTTTTTTTTATGTTATTAGATTTATTATAATTTTGTTCAAGCATCAATGTAATATAAATTTGTGTGAATGTAGGTTCAAGTCAAGTCATTGCTCAATATTATCAGCTTATCCGCTTGGGCTATGAGGTAAAATTAATTATATATATATATATATATATATATATATATATATATATATATATATATATATATATATATGTGTGACATTGTTAAAATTAACAAAAAATTGTGATTCATAAATATATATTTTTTTTGTCAATTAAATTGTAGGGATATCGAAATGTAATGGAAAATTGTCGTGAAAATGCAATTGTGCTAAGAAAAGGACTTGAAAAAACAGAACGTTTCAATATAATCTCCAAAGATGAAGGTATACCCTTGGTGGCATTTTCCCTCAAGGACAATAGCCTTCACAACGAATTCGAGGTCTCCGAGACCCTCCGTAGGTTTGGGTGGATTGTCCCGGCCTACACTATGCCAGCTGACGTGCAACATGTTACAGTGTTGCGTGTCGTGATTAGGGAGGACTTCTCCCGAACCCTGGCAGAGCGTCTTGTCTCTGACATCGTCAAGGTCCTCCACGAGCTCGATACGCTTCCGGCTAGGTTGAATGCCAAAATGGTGGAGGCAGAGGAGAATAATTTGATGATCAATAATAATAATAATAATGTGAAGAAAACTGAAATTGAAGTTCAAAGGGCAATTGCTGATTTTTGGAAGAAATATGTTTTAGCTAGGAAAGCATCTGTTTGCTAGGGAAGGATTAATTGTTAAAGGAATAAGTATTAATTAGTAGTAACTTTTTATTATTAATTATAAAAATTGTGAATTTTTATTTATGAAGGATGATGATGAATGTAACATCTTTTGTTCTATTGAATTAAATATTATATATGATTGCTAAGTTATGTTATGCCATACCTCTTTTAATTATGTATCGTAGGACTTTTGTTAATTTATTTAATTATGTTCATCCTTCTTCTTTTTTTCTCTTATATTTTTGGTTTGTACAAATAATAATTGGTATTCCCTCTGTTCATTTTTGTTTGTTAACTCGCTGATTTAGAGGCAAATTGCATAAACTTTGACCTATATCATATTAATATAAGAAGAAGTTTCTGATATTTTTTTTTATAGCTTTTAAATATTTATATTTTATGTTAAAACATTAAACTACTCTATTTGAATTTAATTTTGATAATTAATCAAAAATTAACTCTCGAGCAGAAAAATGTGATAAAGTAAAGAAAATTTGAAGCCCAATAAGGCCTGACAAACTATTTTAAGTAGTGCACAACAAGACTTTTTCTTGCTGAAAGGAAGACATAGAATAGTAAAAATGACTTTAGGATTAGGATTGTGACACTTGAAGAGAAGTGTTTGAACTCATTTTTAAAGCTTTAATAATAAGTTTATGTTTAAAAATCTACTAAAATTATGATAAATGGTATATGTAAATTGGTAATTTAAAAATGTAATGGATTCAATATTAAGAATCTTAAATATTGAACATGTAGCACTTAAATTTTGTAATCTGCTTAAAGTCTTGATCGAGGCGTTATGTGACATGATTCCAAATAAGTCAGGACCCCAACCAATATGCCTTATTCTTGATAGCACAAGAAAGAGAGATTCTGAAATCTCTTGAATTAACCGCTACACACCTTTTAAGCATATTTTTTTTTACTCCAAAAACGAAAAGAATATTGCATAGTCGGTTATACTATCCAAAAACAGATATGGATATCAAACATTAGGTGGATCCCCCCTCTTTTTTCAAAAACAACTTTTACTACTAAAAAGACACATTTTTAATGGACAAAACCAGTCATTGGTAAACAGGAATTTATAAGAAAAAATCAATGGATGAAACTCTACTGAAAATAATCGTACAATTAACTATTGGATATACACTATCAAAATTACTTATAAACACCATTGAAATCTTCTAGAGTTATACACAAATATTATTATAATTTCTGACTTCGTCACTCAACAAGAATTATTTTACATGAGTCATGATAGAGTTGTGGTCCATTGTTAAGAGGAAATTGAAGCTCAATAAGGCCAGACATACATACTATTTTAAGTATTTCTTCCACCAAGCCTTTTTCTTGTTGAAAAAAAAAACTTTATTAGGATTTAGATTGTGACATTAGAAGAGGAATGTTTTGTGATGACATGTTCATGTTGTAGACAACACTGGCCAAACTCTGGTTAATTAGAAAGCACATCCACGCGTGTGAATATATATAATTTTGCTTCCAATGATGTTTAATTGTTTGTCCTTCGACGTATACATAGTTATACCATTGAATATTGAACTAGGACAACATAACACTCTAAATAGACATTTGGATATAGATTTCAAATATTTTTTACTTTATTTGATATTGATAAAGTTGGAGTACTTGAAAGTGAAGTTGTGTCTATTATGTTATAGTTTGTAAAAATATTTGAAATAATGTTATATTCATAGAAAAACATGAAATATGTTTTGGATTCCATAATTTCTAAAATTAGCAAAACCAATCATTTTTTTTAATTTACCTGAAACAATTAATCGAATCTACTCCAAAAGAGTAATATAATATCACTGCATTACATATATATAGTCACATAATATCATAAATTAAATCTCACATACGAACTATTACATGCTATTACACTTCGTTAATTTAATTTTGAATACTATTACAAAGATCTATTAGTACAAAAAATCAACAACACTAGGAACTAGTTGTTTATTAAGATATCCTTCCAGATTGTGTGAATAATTTCTTCTCGTCAAACATGCATTCTCGATCAGCTGACCTGAAAGATGAAGCGGTATTGTTAATCTTCGTTGTTGGTAACTGGCTGAAATGAAAGAGATGGTGATGAACCAAAAATTTAGGCAAAAAAAAAAGTTGGAAAACATATTTTAAGTTATTTTTTCAAATTTAAAATACAACTATTAAATTTTTTATAACTATACACTGCTTTTTATATAAAGTAAGATATTATTAGAGAAATAAATACTAAATAACTTTTAAAATAGGATCAAATATATCACCTTGCTTCTTTTTTCTCTGTTCTTTTTTTAATCCACTCTTGTCACACTTCCTTTTGGGGTTATGACTATACTTGTGAGTTGTGACATATTTCAACAGTTTAGTTAAAATGTTTTTGACTTAAATGAAATAGATATTTTTAAATTACTATATAATTAACATAATTATTTAAATTTAAATTAAGCAGTGTGATGGAGATAGGAATATATCTAAATGAAAGTCCTAATTTTAGTTCGAAATATTAATTAAAAACTAAAATACAACAATGAAACGAAATATTACTTAATTTGACTTTGAAGTCAAATCATTTTGCTTAAACTATTACAACAAATGAATACCTACTATATTTGATTTTGACCTCTGTCTTCTAGTAACAACATCTCAATGATATGCAACACAAATTACCATCTTATTAAACCCAAAAGATCACTTTTTATATTTCAATCTATATGATATATATAATATTCTCTAATTTTTCAAAAATGATAATTAAATTTTAAATCTCATATTTATTCTTAATAAAGTACTTCATAATTATATTGGTTTAAATTATAATTTTTTTAAGCATTACTATAACTTTTATATTTTAGTAAATATATCGTATAAATTGAGATAGAAAGAATAACGGAATCAAATCAATGTCATTCACACAAATTTGGATGTTTCTCATCTAACATACACAAATCAAACTTCTTTCTCTATGTTTGAAAAAATCCATAAAAATTATGGTCCCAATTAATCTTACTCACCTTTGGGCCCACATGCCAGCATGACATTTTGTAGGTCCCACTAAAGTTAGTATAATTGGAGTGCTAACCAACCCCATGGACTCTCAAAAGATTTTGGGGTCTACTTTTGTTTACTTTTGGTTTGATATGCTAAGTGAGATGACAAAGAGGAAGGCCCACAAACAAACCTAAAGTTTGAAAGGAGGAAAACAGTTGGAAAAAGTTTCAAAGAGAAGAAGAAGCAATATACCTATACATTGTTTAAAAATGCAAGCATGATCTCAAGTGATCCACTTGTGGAGATTATTTTTTTTTGAAAAAAGGTCATTTCAATATTTTATTTTTTTATTTTTTTCATCTCACTTAAATAAGTTGTGCCAAAATAACTTTTTGATGCTGAAGATGGAGTCAATTTTTGATGGAGTGCAACTCATGATAGAGCACAAGGAGTTTGTAATGAATTATGAATGGGGCTTGTCACAAGTTCTAGCGAATCACCTAGATTTATATATTAAAAAAGTCACGATAGGTCACCAAGAATTTCTGATGATGAACTTGTCATAAGTCCTAGAAAATCACAAGGGGTTTAGTCCAAATTATGTTAAAACTATAGAACAATTTTTTCGTATAGATTCTAGAGGAAAACAACAAGTTTTTAAGAAACTTCACACATTTTTATTATAAAATTGATCCAAATTGGTCAAAATCAATTTCAAATGACTCCACATTTGATTCTAATAACAATCACAATATTTAAATTCAATTCAAACTTTCAAAATTTAATAGACTCACTTTGTCTTTTTCAACTAGTTCTTTTGAAGCTCAACAAATTAGTTGTGTTCTTTCATAGTTTATAACATGTAGTATAGAAATCTACTAACACATAATTAGTCAATAATTCCTTCTCTAAAGCTGAATGATACTTTAAAGAAACATGTAATGCAGAGAGGAGGCTTCCTTCCTGCCTTTCCCATACAAAGTGCAATAATAATGAGCTTCTATGCATTCTTATCTAGGGTCATGTCCTTGGTAAGTCGAAGAGATGTCATGTCATGTCTAATCACCTTCTCCATCCCACTTTCAGTTCTTCATCGACCTGCCTTTACATCTCCTAACTCATGTTACGACCAACTTCTCACACTTTCTTACTGACGTAGCCATGCACATCCTCTTCATATGTCCAAACCATCTCACCCTTGTTTCCCTCATCTTATCCGCCACTAGGGCCACTCCTACCTTGCCCGTATAACTAGATATTCCTAATCCTTTCTTTCCTCGTTTGTCCACACATTCACCCGAGCATTCTTATTTTTTCTACATTCATCTTCTGAATGTAGACGTTCTTGACTTGCCAACACTCTGCCATATATAAAACAATATCTTACATATTGTGAATCTGAATTAATCAAGGCCTGACACTAATATCGAAACCGAATAGAAAAATAAAAAAGTTAATGTGGAGACTCTAATAGAAGAAACTATTCATTATGTTATTACTCAAAGTTCTTATCCATTGGAATTTAAGACCAAAAACTTCAAAAAAGAAATACAAAAAAATAAAAAGCAAAAGAAATGAGAAAAAAGCAAGAAAGGTGAAAAAGCTGAATTTGAATTTGTGTTTTGTCTGTGAAGCATGTAAAAATAAGCAGTCCCTTCATGCATTGCCAACAAAATGATATCATAAGCACAGCAATTATTTAGTCCCCCACATATTCACTTATTTAATCATCAAAATGTTAAAAAGTTGAATTATTTTACGAATCCCAAGAAAAAAAATCACAAAATCTTATTTCTTTTTCTTTTTTTAAATAAGTTTTGCTTGCTGGCCGTTGACTGGAATTTGCTTCTTCTAAAATCATGATTTCACCATCACTTTATTTCTTTTCTTGTTCCCTTAGTTTGAAGACATGAGAACCAAGAATTTTGAAAAATTCAACGTGCGTTACAGTGAAATGGTTGAAATGTCTTTATTCTCTATTAAAGATTTCGATTTAAAATGTTTTTATTTTATATTAAAGATTTCGATTCAAGCCTATGAGAATAATATAAAAATTGTTAAAAGTGTTATTTTCATAAATGAACCTATAATGTGCGAATTCAAATTTAATTAAGTAACTCTCAATATAAATGCTAAATACCCACCGAATAAAAGAATTAAAAAATATAAAATTGAAAGAAACTTTAATGAGGAAAAGTTTTGTTTCGAATTTCTGAATGAGGAATAACTTTATAAATAATGATTAAAAAATATGATTAATAGTATTTTTGCTCCTTTGATTATTGATAAATTTTAAACTTAGTCCTTACAACATCTTATTCAGCATATATATATTCCTTTATTCGTCAATATATACCATCTTTTTTATAATTATACATCATTCTATCATTTAATTATTCGTATATTTTATTGATGCATAATATTTAAGGGATATATATGTCTAGAAATAGTTTGGATATAACATGTTTCTTATATAAAAAGACCAAAACACATCTTAAATAAAAAAATAAATATATTAAGATACATACATACATATATATATATATATCATAAGGGCTGAAATTAAAATTCACAAATACAAGTCTTATTTAATTTTCCTTATAAAATACTAATACTTAATAAAACTAAATGAATGTCAAAGAGGAGAGGAATAAATAAATAAATAAATTCCCAATATAACCTGGAGGCTAGTTTTGCAGACAAATTTGACAAACCTATATGATAGCTACTATTGGAGGCAAATTAAAAGACTAGAGGACAAATTTTAGGAATTTAAAAATAATGACTGGAGAATAAGAAAAAGACAAAGTTCATATTATAAATAATGAAGTATGTGTTAGTCTCTATTCGTTTGATTTAAATATTCAATGAGGGTAAGTTGTCATATACCTACCCATTAATTTTTATAAAAATATAAATGTTTCTTCATGTTATAAGTATGGGGGAAACTTTAACATATGAATTTAACAGAATTCAATAATTTTAACTCAAAATAACAAAAAAAATACGTTAATTAATTAAAAGATTTTGAAATTACAAAATGAAATATACAAAATAGAAAAACTCAACAAATTTTGAAAAGATAATTATTGCGCTTGCAAATCTTATATATGAACTCTGCAAACAAATTTCAAAATCCAACCACTATTACTTAAAATTATTATCCTAAAAGTTTATTGTTAATATAAATCAAATTTTGAATTCATTTGCCTACTCTAGCCACACGTTCTCAAAATATCATATATCCTACCATAAGACTTAAAAGCATACTCTTTATGTCTCAAATTTATATAGTACCATTGAAATTTTGAAATATAAACTTCTACATTTTTTTAATCATAAATTCATATATATAAGTTTTAAATTTTTTTAAATAAAGTTTCTATATTTGAAAACTACGTATAAAAAATACTATAAGTAACAATAAATAACAATTAAAAATAATTAAAAGATATTAATTTCGACAATCTTTTTAATTGACTTTCAATATTTCACTTGTATTACATAAATTGAGATAAATGAGGTAATAAGTGAGGTCACAGGTTTTTTTTCTCTTCAAGTATAAGCCCCAAATCTTCCTTTGAAACATTTGATTCCCCATTATTTTTTTAATTATATTTTTTGCACCTTGTCTTTATTTTTCTTTGATGGGCCATATCTTTTGTCTCTATTTAAATACTAGATGACACATTTGGAACATACACACATACTGAGTACTTACTCTTCTCTGCATCACACAAAAACTTATCAATCAGAAAAAAAATATGGGTGACCTTCACTCAATTGCTTACAATAGCTTCTCTTCCCTAGGTTGTGACTTCCATGGCCTTGAAGTTTTCAACAATGACATGTCTTCATGTAAAACATCTATCTCTGCTTCTCTCATTTTCTTATTTCGATATTCGTCATTAATAGTCGAGTCAGAATTTAACATTTACTATACATAATTTTATTTGAACATTAGTCATTTTACGGTGTTGAATCCCCTTATGTCTCTCTAGCTTCGCCATCTAACTACTCTTTAGTTTCTATCTTCTTCTTGTTCTCAATTTTCTTGTTTGGCTTAACGAGTAGTGGTGAATGCATAGTTTTCATCGAAGAATTCAATATTTACTATATATATAGAGAGATACATAACATATTTATCTTATGCATGTGTAACATAATTTTTCGATGAAAGAAATTCAACAGTTCGAAGCAAATTTTTCACCAAGTAATTTACTATGTGCTATATCTATATATATAACCTTATAAAAAAATTTCGCCTCTCTAACTCCGCCTCTGCTATTTTTTTTTGGTGGTGTATATAAATAACCTTATAATTTTTATTTTCGTCTCTCTAACTCCGCCCCTGCTAATTTTTTTAATTTTTTTTTATAGTTATGGAGAGCACTCCTCCATTTTTGTCAAATGTTGATTGTGACTTATCAAGTGGATATCTACAAGATGCTTTATTCAAATTCAACTCGAAAAGAAGGCGTTTATTATTGTTTAATGATGATGATGACAAGGAGAATTATCAAAATGAAGATTCAAATAATTCCATTAAGGTATAATTAATTACATTAATTACTTTGTTAATTCTATGGCATTTTTTTTTTTGTTGTTGAATTGTAATTCTATGTTTTTTTTCTTATTTATGTTGCAGAATTTGTGGAGCTCCACAATTGACCAACAATTTTCTGAGGATTATGATTCTTTTAGCCAGATAACCAAGTGTGATAGCTTTTCTGGTAATTCTAATTCTTAATTCTCTTTTAATTTATCTCAATATAATTAAATATTTATTTTGCTTAAATAATTTAGAAATGGAATTAATTTCTATTGGTGTAATTTAGTAATATAAATCTTGATATTTAGCTTTGTTTCCTATGATTTTTCTTTTCTTTTTATTAAAATTTAAATTACATCGTCAGATCTCTTTATAGCATTAGCCGTCATCAGACAACCTTTGCCTTTTGTTTTTAGACCTCTTTATAATAATCATGATCATTATAGATAGCTTTTTGAAATGGTCAAGCTCTTTTGAAATGATTTTTTTATATTATATTATACACATACAAAAAAAAACTATTTACACATAATTACCCTAATTATATGAATATTTTTTACGTCATTACTAGTAAAACTTAAACATTATTACTAACAAATAGTACTATTTTACTAATTTGCTCTAACCTAGAACTTGTCCAATGCAATTATTATTATTTTAAAAAAAACGTTTGGTATGGAGTAATGATTAGTAATTGCCGTTATGATTTGCATGTTAAATTGAAATTTAAAAGACTCCTGATTTATGGTATTATGTTTGTTTTAATAAATTTGTATTATGATCATAATAATGATAATTTATACTAATGATTAATTTAATTATAGGGGATCCAATGAGCAAAATGAGTGAAGAATATTCCAAAAGAACAGAGGAGGAAGCAATCTCAGAAAATTATTATTATTCTTCTAATTCTTCACCAACATCATCATCTCATCATAATAAACAACCTCTACAATATGGTAACTCTCTCATTTTGTTTCTTTTATAATTAATTATAATCTTATGTGGATTATGTTTTAACGAGAATGCCGAATTTTGATCAAAGTTATTAAATTTTATTAAATTCATAATTAAAATTTTAGTTCCTCCCTTGAATTATGAGATTGGTTTTGAGGATATTTGATTTTTAAATTAAACTCATTACTTTTGACTCAAAATATATATGCATATGCTCGAAAAAAAATATTTTTACATACAATAAGATCACACTAGCCTATTTTTGTGTGTGGGGGTTGTTGTTCTTTCTCATAACAGCATACCCTATTTAATTTGACATTTTCAAAAAAGAAATTCCATTAAAGTCTATACTTATTAATTAAAGTGCGAATTTATATAAGAATTTTCAGTTACTAACTAATTAAATCTTTATTAATATGTTTTTTTTTTGCTACTGTTGAATAGCAAAAATGAAAAATGTTTAAATGGTACAAATATATTGGATACTCAAAAGTCAAAAAGTAACCACTAATATTGTTGACTTGCTTTTTTAATTTGAATAATATTTTGTAACTGTAAAGCAAATAATTTATCATTTAATTATATAATTATATAATTATTTATAGGTTACAAGTTGAATGAAGTCATTAATGTTTATATCAGAATAGACTTGTTACATCACATTCTTTAAAGTGTAATTTTTTTTCAAAATCTACAAATACAAAATGTTTTATATAGCGAACTGTCTTTGACTGACTTTTTTTTTTTTTAATTTGAAGGAGGAGGTGATCAAAAGAGAAGCAAGAAAAGGATGTGTGGAAAAATTGTGTATCCATTTGGGCTAGTGAAGCCCGGAGGGCTAGAGGGAGACGTGACGTTAAATGACATTAACGAGAGGATTCTAATGAGGCCGACCCGACCCGTAAGGCATCCGGTGGGGGACTTTGCATGTCGTCCGACCGTCTGTCCTGCCGGACCAGGATTGTCCGGCAAGACGGTGGTCGCACTCACTAAAATTCATACTCAAGGGAGAGGGACAATCACAATTATAAGGACTCGAGGGTGATTGAGGACAAGTTAGAGAGGACGTACCTAGGTAGCTAGTGTTGGCTTATCATCTATTTGTTAAATTTTCAAGGTACGTAGGATCAGATAGGAAGGTAAAATTAAAAGAGAATATGTAATTTTATATTTTATCTTTTGCTCATTTGATGAAATAGGCTTGTAAATAGAGAAAAAATATTGTCGTCAATATATCTTTGACAACGTTTCAGATGAAAAGACCTAGCTCGTTTAGCCCTTGTTGACATGCTATGTAGTTATTTAATGAAAAAGGGGTATGAATTATGATATCTATAGATATATGGAGGTTAGTGTATGTACAGATTATATGTTTATTACTGAAAATTAGAATGAAAAATGTTTTTCTTTTAAAATTTTATTTCTGACAATTTGAAGATTTTCTAAGTACTATTTTGAGTTATAAAGGGATCTTGTTTGTACGTAGTTGAGCAGAATAATGGACTGAAAAAAGGTCCTAATAATAATCCAAAAATGTTACTCTAGTTTTAAATATTTTTCTTAAAAAGAAATTATGGTCTAAAATATGATGTAGGAGTATCATTTATATGGCTATAATATTTTTGAATTTATGAACTTAAATGTGTCATAATATCTGTGTAATTATCAAAAAAAATTCTTAGTTCTCATTAAAATAAAATATAAAATTAGTTATTTTAAATTTATTCGAAGTATGTCATCTAAATTGAAACATATATACGGGACTAGTTAAAAAAAGATGTATTACTTCTCCTACCTTAAAATTTGGGATAATTTCACTTTTAATCCCTCATGTATTGATATTTTTTAACTTTGGTTCTTATAATATTTATCTAAGCATATTTGGCTTTTAATTAACAAAACATATGTTTTGATACCAATTACCACTATATAAAAATATGTGATATTTGGACTATATTTAGAATTACAATATCCTCAAATATGAAGTAGTAGTATCGATATATCATAACATAATGATAATTGATTTGCTCAGATCTCATGAAATTTGTGAAGATTCATAGTAAGAGAGGTAAAAAAAAATACACACTTATTAATTGAGGTGATAATTTATTGCAAACGGTCTATTTATTCCTAGAAAAATACAAATAAGATCTATGTATGTTTTTGTAACGACCTGATCCTGTCTTTATAGAAAAGTCAACGGGGGAAAAATTTGGGGCCGGAAAACTTTTTCGTAGTATTTGGATTTTCCCAACCTTGTCCAGATTTGGACGAAATCAGAGTCATTGAGGTGTAGGGAAATCTGGTAACAATCGGGTGAATCATTTATGATTTTGATTACTTGAGTAGTTAGATAACTCGTTAAGGAATCCGTACGACTTTACGGAATTGAATTTGGGCGAGTAGAACTCCCGGAATCGATCTTACCATAAAAGGAATTTACTGTGTGTCGTGGGTTAGAGGTGTGTTGTGAAATGGGAATTTTAGAATTCTTAAAATAGCTCTCTGTTTCATTTTGGCTGCTTTGGCGGTGATTTTTGCAGCTCTGGCGTTGCCGCTGTGGCGGGTCCCGATGCGAATTAAAGTCGTTAATAAACCCCTAAACGACCTCATTATGCACATTTTGACTTTTAGAGCTAAGGAATGACCCCAGGCGACTCCTACTCGTTTTTCACCATTCTTGAGGCTAAAGGTAAGCTCTTCACTTCCTGAATCCGTTTTTCGATCAGTAGAACGTAATAGAATGGGTGAATATTGATGGGGAAGGTTTTGTTATGGATTCTATGGTGAAAACAACCGTAAATTGGATAATTAGGATCATGGGTATGATCTAGGATTCATAGAATTGTTATAGATTTGGGTAATTAGTGATTGTTTATTGATTCCCGTATTATATTGATTGTTTGTAGACCAAGAACAAGCGGAACGAATCCGGAAAGGGAAGGATCAAGTTTCTTAGGGTTTCAAGCCTGTTTCAAGGTAGGTGATGGTTACGATTCTATGATTGTGGGATGTATGTTTGTTCTTGCTTCATTATGATACTTGTATATGGATGAATGTTGCAATGTTGATCACACTTGTGGTAAATGAGATAGATAATTGATGAATGTCATGAAATCATGACTTAAATGTATGATCTTGATGATATACCCGTGATTGTGATTGTGGTGTGTGAATGAGATCGGTTGCCACGTTTCGGCATAACTAACTTGGATCGATTGCCACGTTCCGGCATAAAAATGGGATCGATTGCCACGTTCCAGCATAAATATGGGATCGGTTGCCACGTTCCGGCATGCTAACTGTTTGTGTTTGAGTTTCATGAGAGAACCAATGATTTGATATAAAATGTGAAGTTGCGCGTTGTTCGTAAATGTTGATAATGTTGCATATGTTGATATATATGCATGTGATTATAATGTTGTTTGATTTGTTTATGTTGCACTAGTGGGATAGCCGCCTGATTCTACCAGTACATTGTGGTTGTGTACTGATTCTGCACTTGCTCTTATTTTTGTTGAGTACAGAGCATCTTCAAGCGGCTATATATTGACAGACCTCGCTTAGGAGATCAGTGACCGTCACTTCGAATTCAAGGGTGAGCCAATTCTTCCAGGCTGCCATAGAATTCTCTTTCGTCTATGTCCACCATTTTCGGACTTAAACTATGTTCTAGTTAGTTGATTAGTTCATTAGATTGGGGTTGCATCCCTTCTTGTTTAGACTTGTTGAACTTTAGATGTTTTGGTACATTGACTTTCAGGTTCTAGGTTATTCTTCCGCATTGTTTAGTTCGTTGTTAGACTTTTGTTGAAGTTTATGGGAACTCTATTTTTAAATGCCTTAGTTTTTAGATTATTTGCTTGGTTGAGTTGTAATAGTGGTTCTCCCATCGAAGTGTTAGTGTGGGTGCCAATCACGACGGTCTGGATCGTGACAGTTTTATTCTCTTCAGATTTTACTTCTGAAATTATAATTGGTATATTATTATTATAGTATTTTTATATTATTATTTATCAAAAAATTGTAATCCCTAAGTAGCCCCTTTGCATCATGTTGACAATTATGTTATACGAATACAATAAATTAATAAGATCAAATAATTAGTGTTAGGTCTATTTCTTGAAAAAGAATTTAGAAGTGTTAGGTGATAAGGGGAAAAAAAAAACTTATTAGGAAAGCAATGCATGTGACTAAAGTGAACTATCTTTGACTCTATTGCATCCTAAGGCTTAATATAATAAGTTGAAATTAGTAAAGGGGAAAAAAAGAAAAAGAAAAAAAGAAAGAAGCTCATTTATTAAAGAAAAATAAAGAGAGAAAAAAAAGAAAATAAAAGGTAAAGGTTGATAAAAAAATAAATCCTTGACAAGTATAGTTGTTGTGTGGATAAACAATACTGGTTTATATTTTTTAGTTATTAATAATATTCTCAAGTTCAATTTATGTGTCTTAGTTTATCATTTAGTCTATTTCATAAAAAAAATTAATTTTTATATTTAGGAGTTATAATTTTAATATAACTCAATTTCACCTTACCCCTTTAACATTTAAGATCTGAGCGGAAGAAAAAACATTCTTTGATTCAAAAATCAAATAATTATCGCCAATTATTTTTAAGAAGTCAAAGTAATTCCTTTTTTTTTTAGAGGACATAGTTTTGGGGATAATTATTTTTCCGGACTTTTGAAGTTATATTTTTGATATCTAGTGATCAAATAAAAGAGTTTGAGTAGTAACAAACTTAGCAAATAGTGAGTATACCAGACGATTTTTTCATATTTGTCTAAATTATGATTAATGAAAAAATAATCGTTAAATAAATCGAGATGCACTAAATCATTTAAAAGAAACATACTATACTATATTAGAAAACATACAAATGATGTTTTCATGAGATAAAAGTAAAGTTAATATAACTATAACTAGTAATATTGTCAAACTTTCTTTTTGATACATGTTTGCACTTATGCTACTTTAATTTCACTAAAATTAAAAATATAATATTGTTGGTGGAAGGTCCATACTCTATAGTCCATAAATTTTAAATATAGGACAAATTATAATGAGTAGCTATTATAGGAGGCACATGTTACCATATAATAAGTTTCATAAAAAAAGGACCATTTCCCATAACACTTGGTGAAGGACAAATCATTCTATGTAACAATTGGTATAAAAACAAGATTTGGTAAAAAAAAAGGAAAATCATCACCCTATGTTTAAAGTTTAATTATATGTAGGACCCTAATTAATTAATCATTAGTGTAATGTGCATGATTTATGTTTTAATTTGAAATTAATCTATTAATTACTAATAGGTTGGTGAGGTGGAATTCTAGACTATATATGACCTTGTTTGAAAACTATGGGAAAAAGAAAGGGATAAGATGTGGAAAATATTTGAGAATGACTATTATATAGGAATAATTTTACAAAGAGTATATTGTTATAATGAATGTGATTATTATTACAGGTAGAATGTTATTATAGAAAAATAAAATAAAATATAAAAAATTGATTCCAAAGAAACTTGTTTCATTAGTGAAATGTTATAACACAGTTATAAAAACAAAGTTCGACTGTATTACAGTATTTAGATTAATGTTTCTTTTTATTATAATGTAAAGTTTATTAAAATTAAAAGTATAGACTATAGTAGGCGTATATATTAATTAAACTTAATAATTATGGCTGGCATATCTTATAGCTGTATGGCAAACTAAACAAAATATCTTTTTTTTTTTTTTGTCTTTTCTGAAACAATTATATATTAGACCTGGTTTGGAAGGACATTTGACATTTCTGTGCACAATTTTTTTATTTTTTTATTATTTCATTATAGTAGGTATGAATAATTTTATAAGTTAGGTATGCATAAGTGGAAGATTTAATAGTAAATGATTTTTTCAACAAATAATATTGTCATCTATTAATTATTTCACTAAGGAAATAATAATATGAGAAACTTTCCAAAATTGCTATATTTTTGTTAATTAAAATTCATAGCTATATTACTGTTTGTTATTAGACATATTTAATGTTGTTTTTCGTTTAAAATTACTCTGAATATAAATATAATATTTAATGCAGTGCATTAATTGTCTCTTCCGCTTAGGGTCTATTGAAAAAACTTTCTCTACCTCTCAAGACTATCTTCCTCCATTCTCACATATAAAATTACACTGAATATTATTATTATTATTATTATTATTATTATTATTATTATTTATTATTATTATATTATTATTATTATTATTATTATTATTATTGGAATATCATATTC